CATTTATGACTACAAAAGGACTGATTTCGATGCAATGAATAATTATTTAAGATCCATTGATTTGAGCGCAATTTTGAATAATATTGATATTAATAATTCATTTGATTGCTTCTACAACACAATATTTTGCGCATTTGAGCAATTTGTTCCAAAATTAAAACTACGTCAAAAAAATTCAAAACCATGGTACAATGCCGAATTAAGAAAACTTAGAAACAAAAGAAATAGTGAATTTTTAAAGAAAAAAGATGGCATAAGTAATGCACATGACGAATACGCAACAAAATTTAATGAATTAAATGAAAGTCTTTATGAACATTACAACAGTGAATTATCGCGTAATATAAAAAATGACCCAAAAAAATTCTGGTCGTTCGTAAGAGAGCAAAAGTCATCAAAAGGGTACGAATCGAAAATGAAATATAAAGACAAAGTAGGAAAAAGTGAACCGGAAATAGTGAATCTTTTCGCAGAATTTTTCTCTTCAGTCTTCTGTGCGGAAAGAAACGATAATGAAATTAGTAGAATAATGAATGAATTGGATCATGAAACACAAACTGTCTTAACTGAAAATGAAGTCTTTGAAGCAATGAAAAGATTCCCGACAAACAAAGGTATTGGTGTCGACAAGTTCCCACCAATTATCATAAAAAACTGTAGATTTACACTGACGAAACCGATTACAGTTTTGTTTAATAAGTCATTGTCAACTGGCATTTTACCTAGTTCTTTGAAAACGTCACACATTATACCACTATTCAAAAAGGGACCTAAAGAAAATGTTGAAAACTATCGAAGTATTGCACTGCTACCATCATTACTAAAACTGTTTGAGAAAATAATGTATAATAAAATAATGTCCCACTTTAGGAATCGTATAAGTGGCTGTCAACATGGATTTGTCCCTGGTAAATCTATAAACACGAACCTCATGGAACTAGTCACATTTACGAATGAAGCATTCGCACAGAAATGCCAAGTTGATATTTTATACACTGATTTCACCAAAGCATTCGACAAAGTCGATCATGCAATTCTATTACAAAAAATGAAAGACATGCAGTTTGACTCAGGCATAATTAAATGGATAGCTTCATATTTGAATGCGAGATCGATGAAAGTGAAAATTAATAGTAGCCTCTCCAATAATTATGCTATGCACACAGGTGTCCCAGCTGGCAGCATTTTAGGCCCTGTTTTGTTTTTGATTTACATTAATGATTTACCGACCATATTTGAGAAATATATAAAGATTCTATTATTTGCTGACGACTGCAAAGTAATAATGAAAATAAAAAGTAACGATGATTTAGTTTTGTTCCAAACGGAAATCGATAAGTTAATAAAATGGTGTAAAGACAATAAATTGGAGCTGAATATTTTGAAATGTGCTGTTCTCACCATGAGTAGATGTGAGGCGAAGTTTGTCGGAAAATATACAATGAATGACGTGTTATTGAGTAGAGTTCATGACTTTCGGGATTTGGGTATAAGAATTGATGAACGATTGACATTTAAAAAACACATTGAGTCGTTGGTTGCTTCATGCAACTCCACAATGGGTTTCATAAAACGAACAGCTGGTAAAAGATTTGACATTGAAACACTTGTTATTCTGTTTAATTCATTCGTAAGAAGTAAATTATTGTTCGGCATAGCAGTTTGGTACCCATTCACAGCCATAGATAGAGACTTCATTGAGGGGGTTCAGAAAAGATTCACTATGATGGCACTTAGAGAATATCCAAACGCAAGTAATAATTACAAAATTCGTCCTTATGATGACCGTTGCTCTGATTTAAATATTGATTCGATTAACAGCAGATATATTTATGCCTGTTGTGTGTTCATATATGATCTTTTGCATGAAAATCTAGAGTCAGAATTTTTGAAATCAAAACTAGTATGGAACAACAATAGACAGACACGAAACTCAGACTTACTGAAATTACCAACATTTACAAGTGGTTACTTAAAAAATCAGTCCTTTTGGTCAGCAGTTAGACACTTTAATGAAACTAAATTGCAATACACGAATAATAATGAAAGAAATAGATATATTAAGGCAATTGAAGATAAGCAAGTATTATAAAAGGGTCTGTATTAGATCAATAAATAAATAAATAAATAAAATGTCACGAACAATGTTGCAATAAGGATAGATCAGATATTTTAATTGGAATAAATTGGAAAAGTTATTAAAGTTATGTTAATTGAAATCTTTTTTTTGTTTTGTTCGTTGAATTTAGCGAGTGAAACGAAGGAGAAAGACAAGACAAAAGCATCAAAGCTTCGAGGTGTATCTGGACCGCAACTAGGTCTAGAATCGGCTGATCCGAATGCACAAAACGCAGGCACAAGTGCGCAATCATTTGCGGATACTGTGCGAAACCCAAACGCTTCTGCTGCAAATGAATCACAAAATCGGACAGATGAAAGTGAACAGCAAAATCGGACAGATGAAAGTGAACAGCAAAATCGGACAGAAAAGAATCCGACAGACGGACGACCACCCAGTGGCGATGGTAACGAATCGACTCACGACTATGTCAATGCGTACGTTAACAATGATGAACGTGAATCGAATCATAGCCATGACGATGAAATGGATAGTTTGGACGGAGCTCAGTATGGTGAACATTTGGAAAGACAAAAAACCGAGATGGTCCGAGAATACCAGGCGCATCAAGAATCGATTGTACGAATTTTCTCGCTCGGATAAACTGAAGTCGCTTGATAATCGAGGTCTGAAAGTTCGGAATGAAGGGCTATTGAAGCAATGGACACAAGCAACTCAATTGTATTACCGGCTCATCCGAATAGTTGATGACGTAGTGTCAAAAACATACGAAGAATCGTTAGCAATTTTGGAAGAAGAATATTATGACGCCACAGAGGCAATCGGAAAGAGAATGGATGAATTGGAAAGAGCCATTGAAAACGAAATTCGTTCAGGAGGCAAATCGGACGAGACAAAATACCGTGACCGATATGTGGCTGCAGTGCATAACAATCCTGACGTAGATGAAGCATACAAAAATATGCATCTGACGCAATCATTGATTAGAAAAGCAGCTGAGGTGCTGGGAGAGAGACAAACAGCTGGCGATAGCTATCAACAAGCATGGGAGAGAATCATTGACAAATACGACCGACCGTATGATATTGCCAGTGATGTAATGAATGATTTCTACAAGTTGCCGGTCATTCAAGAGCCAGCAACAGCAAGTGCATTGGAAGATATGTCGAACAAAACGCATGAAGTCATTCGGCAATTGCGTGCATTGAAGTATCCGGTCGAGCAATGGGACTTCATTTTAGTGCATGCATTGCACGAGCGTTTGGATAATGCAACCTCAAAGGAATGGGAAAAAGTGCGTAACCGCAATGATCATCCGAAAATAACTGAGATGTTGGAATTTTTGGATAAGGAATCAGCCGCATCGAAACGTACGACTCGTCGTGATGCATTGACCGTGAGCGTTACAAACGAGCGAGCATTGGAAAGATCGGACAGTCGAAATCGGAAAGGAAAGTACACGGGTACAATCAAAAAAGTGTATCCATGTGAAGTATGCCCAACAGGCAGCGGACAGACGCATCCAATTTTTGAATGTCCAGATTTCTTGGCCTTGAGCCCAATTGGTCGGAAGGATTTTGCGATGAAACGGGGACTCTGTGTGAATTGCCTTAAAAAAGGGCATACAAAGGCTTATTGTAACGACCGAAACCGCTGTTCCTACACTCAATGTCGTGCAGATCCGAAGCACAATAGTTTGCTGTGCCCACACAAATGCAACAATCATTCAGTGCGAACCACGGCGCAGTTGGTGGAAAGACAGGAGGAAAGACGGGAGGCAAAGACCTGACTAGGCTGCCCCCCAGCAAAGAAACCGAGATTGGATAAGCGGAGCAAATCAAACAAATCGGAAAGAAAAAGTCAAACGGAAAATGAGTCACTATTCGAAGAAAAGTTGGATTTGGTAAAGAGCAAATTAGATTTGTTAAAACAAGAGGAAAGACTTTTAGAGGACAGAATGGATAAGAATAGGCAAAGAAAACAAAATGAAAATTGTGACTCGGATTTTGATTTGAAAAATAAAAAACAATATTTACCTTATGATGATGCGTTTGATTTTGAAATTAAAGAAAAGAACACCTTTTTAGCAACTGCTGTGGGGAGAATTGATATAGGAAAGAATGAAATGGTAGGTGTGAGAGCCTTCATGGACATGGGAGCTCAACCGAATTGTTCTAGTTACAGTTTATACAATAATAGATTGAAGGAAAGAATAAACGCGTTGCCTATGGCACGTCGCATGGTGGGCATGAATGGACAGGGCTTTCAAGTAAAACAGAAAGTTGCATTAAAAATCTATCCTTGGTTTGACGATGAGCACTATGAAACTGCTGTCTTTTGGATCATGCCAAAGGAGGCTGGTTGGCAACCATATATGCCGGACAGAAGGATGAATCCATTTAAAGTCAGAAACGTATCGGATAGAGAATTTGCGGACCCAAAGTATTGGGTGCCTGAGCAGGTTCACTTGCTTTTTGGAGTAGGATTGTTTGCGCAAATAATAACAGCAGTTGTTCATCGTACAATTGATGGAACAGCATTGATGGATACGACCTTCGGTGTAATAATTTTTGGATCAGGACAAGATGATTTGGATGAATGGGATTCCTTGGCAAATAATCAAGCGCTATCAATAATTGAATATAGCGAAGAAATACAATTGGATAGATTATTAGAAAAACTGTGGCAATAAGATCAAGTACCTACTGCTTTGAAATGGTCGAAAGAACACTTAGCGGTAGAGACACATTTTTTGGATAATTTCAAGAGAGACAGTGATGGGCGATTTATAGTAAAAATTCCCCTGAAAGAGAATGTTACAAATCTTGGTAGCTCGAGACAAATTGCATTGAGACGGTTCAGATACTTGGAAAGAAAATTGGAAAGAGACCAGAGATTGAAAGCAGTGTATGTGGATAAGATGAGAGAAATGATGAAGTTAGGTCACATGAAATTGGCCACGGAAAGACCAATGGAAAACCAACCAGTTTATTACATTCCGCATCATTGTATTGAAAAAGATGATAGAGTGGTGTATGATGCCAGTTGCAAAACTGACACAGGAATTTCTCTGAATCAAGTGCAAATGGTCGGCCCAAAGCTACAGAAAGACTTGTATGAAACGATCATGCGCTTTAGGAGACATAAAATTGCAGTGTATGCTGACATTCAGAAAATGTTTAATCAAGTAAAATTGGACAGACAACAATGGGATCTCCAAAGGATATTTTGGAGAGAAAATGAAAGCGAATTGTTGAGAGAGTATTGGCTGACTGTGGTCATATTTGGAATGGCATCTTCAGCTCATTTGGCTGTACGTTCGGTGATGCAAGCAGCAACTGAACAAGAGGAGAGATTGCCAGAAGCGGCAAAAGCAATTAAGGAAGACTTCTACATGGACGATTGTGTCACAGGGTCAGACTCAGTGAAAAGTGCAGTAAAATTGGCCAAGCAAATGAACGAAATTATGATTGGAGCAGGGTTTGAGCTAAGGAAATGGAACTCAAACAACCAAAGAGTGCGAGATGCTATGCAATCGGATAGTGAAAAGACGATGCTTTTCAAGGAGGAAGAGGAATCAACCATATTAGGTTTAAAATGGTTGATTGAAGAAGATCAGTTTACATTTGTAGTGAAAGACCCGAAATGGGATAGAGAAGTAACGAAAAGAACGATATCGAGTCATGTAGCACAAGTTTATGATCCGAATGGATACATCACACCGATAACGATAAGAGGTAGGATGTTGATGTAAGAGTTATGGAAAGAGAAAGTAACATGGGATCAGAAATTGGACACAAAATTTGTAAACAAGTGGATGGAAATTTGGAAAGACATCAAGAGCGTTGAAAACTTTAGGATAGACCGTTGGTTAAGCACTGGGAAAGAAGTAAGCGTTCAATTGCATGGATTTGCGGATAGTAGCACGCAAGCATTGGGAGCAAATGTCTATGTCCGAGTGGAAGACATGAAAGGAAGCATTAAGGTTAATTTACTGACAACAAAATCGCGTGTTGCACCGATCAAGACAGTTTCATTAGCCAGATTAGAGTTGACAGCCGCAGAGTTACTAGGCCGTTTGATGAAGCAAGTAAAAGACACTATGGAATGGCAAAATGTAGAGGAGTTTCTTTGGACAGATTCAAGTGTCACGTTTTATTGGATTCGGAAAGAACCTTGTTTATTGAAGACGTATGTAGCGAATCGAGTTGCATCGATACAAGAAAACACAAAAGCATCAAATTGGCGTCATGTAAATGGGACAGATAATCCAGCAGATTTGCTAACCAGAGGTATTACACCTGAGCAGTTGATTGACAATGAATTTTGGCTTCATGGACCAGCTTGGCTAAGTAAATCGCCATCGGAATGGGTAATCACACGAATCGTAGGTGAACCGCCCGAAGAAGCAATGACTGAAGTCAAGGCGAATTCAATAACAACGTTCAGGGAGCCATTGTGCATTGGAATAGTAGGTACAAAAACGAAGGTACCACTATTGGATTACGTGAGTCAGGCCCGTAATCAGACGGGTGCTAGAGGATGCTGAGCATGCTCTGACGATCTTCACGCACCCTCAAAGCTAATAATCAAATTAAGTTGCGCATCCTCTGAAAAAAATAGTTCAATTGAAAGAATTTTTTTTGTCTAGTTCCGATTTATTTAAATTTTCTGATGAACAGATTAACAAAAGAATATTATTCATTCCTTAAAATAATTGAATTTTACGATCTTTTTGGTCATTGAATTCGCGTAAAACATCATCTATTGAAATATTGCCCAATCGCTTATGTTCAAATGCTTAAAATGATAAATTTCGCAAACGTTCATTTGTCATCGATAAACGTATATTCATTTGCGACAGGGCCGAGAATGATGCCTCGCACACTGCTGTGCTGCAAGCGAATGTGTCAATTGATGCATACAGTTTGTATACATCGGGGAAAGCGTCCTTCACTTCAAACAATACGGTGAGAATATTGAATCGCCTCTGTGGATCTTTTTCATTGTCCTTTTCCCAATCCAACTTTTTCTTGTCAACTTATTTTTTTGCTGTTTTCAATTCATGCTCTGAAGGAAGTTGCAGGCCCATTTTTTCCAGTGGCTTTAAATCTTTTATTTCCATGTCCGGAGAATTTGATATGGCTATCAAAAATTCGTTGTTCTCGGTGAAGCGATTATCAAACTCGGTCAACGTAACATCAATTATTTCATAAAAACAAGATTTGATTTCAATAGATGGACTGGATCGTTCTCCAATGCTTTCCTCAATACTAAAATCTTTGAGAAGTGTTGACCTCTTTCGATCGGTTCGGAGTGCATGTGCATTTAAATTTGCTGAGGCTGGCATCAGTAATTCAGCTTTTCGTAAAAATTGATCGAATGTTTCTTCTTTTCTGTAAACAGCAATATTCGATTTCACGGCTTCAATCACCGGCATCGCACGTCTGTAGCTCATATCTTGTTTCTGGAATATTGTGTCAGCTGGAGCCAGTGCTGATAGTAATTCGTCCATAAAAATCAATATAAACACACATTTCAATTGTGTGATAACGCTTAATACTACTGTGTCCAAAAAGTAAGGTGACATTGCATTTATTTTGAAA